GGGAAAGAGAAGGGAAATGCCAAAAAACCTCATCGGGTATCACCGGAATAGAATCGGATCGAATAAATCGGAAAACCCAAAACAAAATTGAACAAATGGGTCCTCGGGAATCCAATTAAATGATCGGAAACTCACGAATTAACGTGAAATTTCCAAGAAATTGGGGTAACCAAGATAATCGAACAGGGCGATTAATAAAAAAAACTCACTGGAATCGAATCAGGAGACAAGCGGAATCCGAGGGAAAAAAGACAAAAACGCAGAAAGGAATCTCTGTGATAAGAGTATGGAACACGGAATGGAAAAGGAAAACCCTAGCAAAAGTAAAACCTTTCCCTCTACTGCTGATTCTGAATCGAGAAAGAGAGCAATAGGAGAAAGGTACTGTTTCCTTTCGGCAATGGAGGAAGACGGCAAAAGCGAAAAGTGGTCAGTTACGTGTAGCAAAAGCCAGAAAAAAAAAAAAGTAATTATTTTTGTAACAGCCACAAAATCAACAAAAAAACACTGTTTTTTCTTTCGGATCTGGAGGGAAATTAAATGAGAGGATCCGGAGATTCACACGTGGGATCCACATCCTTGTGCTTTCTGATGTGGCAGAATCCAATTCGTCCTCTTTTTCTTTATTTCTCTCTCGGTTTCATTTCATTTTACAACATACCATTAAAAATTAAACACACAAATTAAAAAAAAATGTTTTACCTAAAACACTTTTATTTATTATATAGATAATTATTATCTCTAAATATATAGAATATTTAAATTTTATTAATTAAAGATAAATTTGGAAAAAATAATAAAAATTATATTAAAAATATAAAAACATTATTTATTTTGAAACAAAAAATTTAATCTAAAACGTCATCCAAAATAAAACGGAAAGAGTATAATTTTAACGTGTAAGTTGGGTATAACTATATAAGTTATTTAGAAACTGATGTTTAGGCCTTGGAAATGGTTTTTCTAGTGTTTGGAAGTTAAAAATCTAAAAATTCTTCCGTTATGATTTTTTTATTTCAATTTTTCTAAAAAATTTGAAAGTCAATTTTTTGAGAAATAAGCATGAAAGTCAAAAACAACTCTTTTATAGATTTTAGAAATAATTTCACATTATACATATATCTATATAAAGACAATATTCTTACCATTTTTACCATAACTCATACCTTTTTTGAAAAAGATTTTATAATTTAAGGTATGTAATTCAAATTTTATTATTCAAAATATATATTGTAATCATCTTATATTGTTATTACTAGTATTAATAAATATATTTTTTGTTTTAATGCTAATTTTTTTTTTTGTAATTTTTAAATATAAAATCTAAAATCAAAAACTAAAACATTATATTTACCAATTAATTTTTCTAAAAACTGTAAAAACTATAAAAGCAAAAAACTAAAAACTAAAAACCAAAAACTAAAAACTCAAAATAAAAACTGTTATCATTCAAAAGGAGACATTACATAAATATTTTTAACTGTCGATTTCACTTGCATGACATACCCTTCAAGATCTAGGATTTAAAAAAAAACTAAAAACGAATTAAAAAATATCGTTATCCCTTTTAAAAAATACACGTATCAGCATCTGAAGGAAAAATACCAAAAGTAAAAAAGTTACTAAAATAAAAAAATTTGAAAAACCAAACAGTTTCTTTTCGGCCCTTATTTTCGACAGACAGTTTCATTTCTTCTTAATGTTGTTTCTTCTTCATTTCTCTTTAACTTTGACGATTGTTCTGCGCGATTTTTCTGCGATTTCGTCTTTGCAAGTGAAGTGAATGAAGAAAGGCTTTGTCTTCATCATCTTCGGCCCCTTCTTCGGCTCTTATTTGCGAAGACCTCTAGGTATATGTTTTTGAACTCACTGAAAATCAAAATTCTTAGGATTTCGGGTATAGATTGGGATTCGGTTTTGGGTTCTCTGTAAAGGTTCCGTTAAAGATTTGGATTTAAAATAAACATTAGAAAAATTAGGGTTTCAGTGAAAAATTATCACCGAAATATCAAAATAGGGTTTTCAGATAGGTGAAAAATAATATTTTTCATAAAAGACGTATAGTAATCGTGTCATGGTGATATTGTCGACAGTCGGATGCACTAAAACATAGATTAGTGGCAATATTAGATATTAATCAAACTGGGCGCACCCGTCACACTAGAACGAAGCAAAGTGTTCAAACTCGTCATACAAGTCGCACTATAACGAATTTGATGAATTTAACGAGTTTGACGAGTCTGTTAATGAGTGCTAAATTTATTTTTGCATGTATCTTATCTACCTCAAAACCTAATAGAAAATGAATATGGTATATACAACATCAAATATGTAGAGACACTCTATAGGGATTATCTCACCTTATTGGATAAGGTGAGCGACGAGGTGGTGTATTTTATTCGTGAAAAAATTGCATGTGATATATTTGCGAATGGCAAAGAAGTCACAGTGTCTACAGAGGAACGTTGAGATTCTTCTTCGTGAACCTTTATTTTATTTAGTACGATCTCATTTTGTTATGAATCTCTTTCTTATTGAGTTGTATCTAATCATGTCTGAGACTTTAGCAAAACATCTTTTTTTAATTATGTTACTTTACTAATATTTTTAAATCATATGTATTGTATCTAACCATATTTATTCTATAAATCCGTCAAACTCGTCAAACTCTCGGATTTGGCGAATTTATCATTTCTGAACTATGAACATGTTAATAAACACTTCGTATAACAAATTTCATAAGTAAAAAATAATCGCAACTCTCTAAATTTAACACCTTATTTTGTTTTACAATGCTTCTCTCAAACGAAACCCTAATGTTCTAGTACATTTTATGTAATACATTGGCCTATGGTAGAATTTATCATTTTCTCGAATGCTTTACTAATAAGAAAAACACGTTAAATACGTCATAATAGCACTTATACACCACGTTGAACCTTCGAAATGTAATTTCGACCATCGTTTGACGGCGTTGACTCATCAAACCCGTCAAACTCATCAAGCTCTCGGATTTGGCGAATTTGTTATTTTCGAACCATGAACATGTTAATAAACACCTCATATAACAAATTTCATAAGTAAAAAATAATAGCAACTCTCTAAATTTAACATCTTATTTTGTTTTACAATGCATGTTCTTCCAAACGAAACCCTAATGTTCTAATACACTTTATGTAACATATTGGCCTAAAGTAGAATTTATCATTTTCTCGAATGTTTTACGAGTAGTAAAAACACGTTAAATACATCATAATACCCCTATACACCACGTTGAACCTTTGAAATGTAATTTCGACCATCATTGGACTACGTTAACTCGTCAAACTCTCGGATTTGACGAATTTATCATTTATGAACCATGAACATGTTAATAAACACCCAATGTAACAAATTTTATAAGTAAAAAATAATCGCAACTCTCTAAATTTAACACCTTATTTTGTTTTACAATGCAAGTTCTCCCAAACGAAACTCTAATGTTCTAATACACTTTATATAACACATTAGTCAAGGGATAGAATTTATCATTTTTTCGAATGCTTTACAAATAGCAAAAACACGTTAAATACGTCAGAATAACCCCTATACACCACGTTGAGCCTTTGAAATATAATTTAACCACCGTTTGACTGCGTTGACTCGTCAAACTCTGAAGCCGCAAACATAAAACTCCGAAAGGGTGTTACAAGTTTGAGCTGTATGACCAGTTTGACCAGTTTTATGACTTTGATTAGTATTAAAGTTTTACCAGAGACGAGTTTCGATGAGTTTGACGAGTTTGATCAGTTTGACGATTGTATTTACAATGTAATACACCAGTTAATTAGTACAAATATAAATTGATAATATCATTATATGCACGAACATTATAGACGACAAAACCGTTATATCTACAATGGACGATGGCAGGTTCCAATCATAACAATCAGGAACCGGATGAACTTCTTGGAGATTTTACTTGTTTCGCACAGTAAATGTGCCAGAAAATCGCATCGGAGAAGAGAAATTCGAAGAAAGAGAAGGAAAAAAATTCGAAGAGAGAGAACGTGATGCAGGCGGGAAACAACGATAGAGAAGAGAGAGAAAGTGAGGTAAAGTAGATCTATATTTATTTATTTTAATATATTATAATATTATATATATAAATGAAGGAAATTATAGGGAATCTACATTTATAAGGGTATGTATGATGTTGTCGTTTTTTTTTCTGAGCGAAGGTCTGGCCTGAAGTAAAATGTATCATTTAAGGGTAATTTTGTAATTGCCCCCATTCAAGACCTAATGTCCGTTCCAAGGCTATTTTTTGAATAATTGTATACATACAACACTGTATAATAAAAGAGAGAGAGATGTATCCAATATTTATTAAAAATATGTTTTATTTCATTTTTATTTTATATTCAATTAATTTTAAATTATTTTCTACTAGTTTCCAATAATTTAAATTTAGAAAAAAACATATTTAATCTGTTTTTTAAAAAAAATTCTTTATTATAATTATTCACTTTAATTCGATTTTATATATCCAAACCAAAGATTATCAAATTAAAATATTTATCAGAGTTAGTAACTAATAAGAGTAAAGTAAGAATAAAAATATTTAAAATTATTTTTTAATTTATTTTTAACTTATATATAATTTGATTCGGATTCGAGATCAATTGATTTAAAAAAACAATTTCTATCAATCGGGCGCACAAAGCGCAAATTAGTTATATATTTTTTTTGCAATCTATGTTGAAAATAAATTTCATTTTTAATATTGAAACCTAATAATAATGTCTTTTAGGTATAAATATCAGTTGGTGAAAAACAAATACACACGAAAACAATGAAGAAATTTAAATCTACTTATCCAAGATTGGGTGGCTCAAGCGATAAGGGAGGGAGCAAAGCTCTTTCCTAATCCGCGTTCGAGTCCTCACTTGGAAAAAAAACATTTAAATGGGCTTTCTCGATTCTCGATGTAGTCGGGTCAAAGGTCCGATGAACTTTCGTATTATAAAAAAAAACATGAAACTACTTTCGTGACGAAATGATCTTAGAATCAAATATACATTTATATGACATATGAACAAGTTGCATATGTACTTTAATCCATTGATTATACTCATGTTGTAAGTTAATTCGATCGTCAATCATATAATTTTCTAAAAACACTCAAAAAATATTTTTTTATAACGATAAATATATTAATGCTTCAAAAAATTGTTTGTTTACAACCCGACAATTTACCTAGACTGACCCTTAATACAAAATACCATCAAAAGAGATACAACAAAAAATAATAAAAAAGTCAACTTGCAACTTAACGCCTCAGTTGAGATTGGATCGGAGATGTAATAGATAGAGCCACACATCCTCAAGGGTGGGGGGAAGAGGAGTCGAAGGATGCACCCTTAAAAGGACGACATCACGCACAAACCTGTCAAGTGCCATCCGAAGATTTCCAAGTGAACATGACTCCCGCCTAAAAATACGAGTAGTCCATTCTTGCCAAATAACATATGTTGCCGCTTGCAGGACTTCCAGAGATGAAGGGGGAGGAGGAGCACTATAACAAGCAGATGCGAAGAAACCCGAGATCTGCATACTAAAGTCGCGTTCAAAGAACAGATGAGAGTGTGATTCATGGTCCCCTAGGCAAAGGGCACCGGTAGAAAGTGACCCAATTCCCCAACTTAAAAGGCGGTCCAAGATTGGAAGACGCCGGAGGAATGTTTGCCACAACAGAGTGAAGCTGACGAATGCCACAGAACGGCTAGAGAACTGGTTCGGATCAGATTCCAAGTGGACTTGGAGGAGAACTCTTAACCGTAGGAGTCGGGGGAAATCTTCCGTTCAAACTTATCCTGGCCAGCCCCGTTCGATGAAGGAGAAATCGATGAAATCCTAGTTACTATTTAATTTTTATAAAAAGTCTAATCGAAATCTAGACTGCAAAATTCGAGTAAATTTCTAAATTGATAAAAAAATATAAATAACTATAATTCTTACCAGTTTTATTTATTTTCAATTCAACATATTATAAATTAGATCGGTTCGTTTCGATTTTAGTAAAACAAAATTATAACCCAACGATTGGGTTCGGTTCGTTTGATAGGGTTCAGTAATCACGTATTCTGGCATAATAAAAACCACATAAAAAATGAAATGCTTCCAAAGTCCCCAATGTCATTGTCATATACCCCAAATCTATGGCGACAAAATGTCCAATTCAAAATCTGTTACAAAAAATGGGTTAACCTCACATGCATACATACATACATATTGGTTCAGACAATTTACGCGATGAATATGGAGAAGATGTATTAATGGGACAGATATCACATGTCGAAGTTACGTTACGTATATATATGCTTCATTTGATATGATGATGCTCTCTCTGCAGTTTCCTGGGACATAATTTCTGTCATTATACCTCGGGACCAGATGCAAATAACGGAATGAGACCGCGCAAGACTTGTGCTGATAACTGGTGAGCCTGCAACATCTCCCCGTCCAAGTTCCACACGCTCTCGCTCCCGACCGATCTAAACGTGAAAGCTCGGGTCTGTACCCAAAAAAAAAAACTCAGTGAATTCAGCTTGTAAAAGAGAAGGCTTTTCCAAAGGGAAACACATTACCTTATGGTACTCCACAAACTCGAAGTTCAAAGGGTCACCGCCTCTTTTCGCAAGCTCGGTTAGGTGCCTGTAGTGTATATTCATATCGAAAATGATAATTCTGATATATGCTTTGATGGGTTTGGATTGCACCAACATCCGTAGAACGAGAGATAGAAAATAGACGAAAAAGGCTATGTCGGAGGCAAGAACACAGCCCCAAAAGTTTCTTAGAGATGCTACATTCTATTCCGCAAAGACATTTCAGAATGTTAAAGACAAGTATAAAGGAAGAAGCGGAATACGATTACACATTACCAGAGATACTTAGGACGAGAGCAATCTCTGATGAGTATGAGGTGAACAAAACCATCCGAAAGGTGTGCATCAGCGACCAGACCATCGGGCGCTCTTTCGTTTCGGTTTGATATTACTGCAGCACCTATACTGAGAAACCGCCCTCTAGATCTCGACCATTTCGTTCCTTCGGGACATGAATAATTCCTCAACAACGTATTATCGTCTTTACTATTACAGATGCTGCATCCTGCCCGGCATAGTATTCTCTCCGACTTTATAGAGTTCCGAAATGGCCACGTCTTAGTACGCAGATTGCCATTCTGAGGAGGTGATTTCGCATTCTCTGTTTCAACTTCTTCATATGCCACCTCTGCCTCGTACGATCTGGGAACAACACATAACTTGAAAACGCTAAAAAATAATTGTTTGAAATAAAAATGAAATAGATAAATTTGTCAGAAGTAGCATCTAAAGGAAAATCCATTAATGTTCAGAATATCTTATACATGGTATAATGAAAAAATACCTGTGTTTCAAGAATACTTTAGTTCCAACATAATCGTAGCGGTTAGGACCCATCCAGCGATATTTTTCGCTCTCCGAAATGACATCCCCATAAAACCCGTATCTGGACTAATGAAATCACATACAAAAAGTTGTTAGAGATAATAAAAAATGCATTCCTTGGAGATCAGTGAGACAAAGAACTGAAGCTGACTGGTTATTGCAAAAATGAACTTGCCCACTAATAACAATAAGATTTTAGGCTTCGGGTTCATAAGAGCGAAGAAAAATTTAGGATTCAAGACTCAAACCTAAAGGGTCGAGTCATTACCCGGCAAATGATGCTGCATAGCGAATAAAAGGTTCCATTGGCGAAGAGGAAGTCGTTTTCCACCGCACTACCTGAACTGCATCAAGGTTGACCTCTCTGCCGAGAACAATGTGGAGTGCTGATGTTATGGGATCACGAGCTCCAGTGGTACTGTTAACACGAGAAACATAGATAGAAAATCTTAAAACATTATGCTCCAGTGGTGCTGTTTATACATCCTTTATACACAGAAGCTAAACTGTAGAGACGCAGACGCTAGTTCAAGAACGCAAATGGAGTTGCCACTGAATGACCTAAAGCTCACAGCCAATACCCACGAAATATCTTCCCGTAAAATATGGCAAAGGATTTTATTTTTTACCTCTGACACAATGAGTATACATAAATGATGATAAGAACTGTACCACATAACTACTGCATCAGTTGAACCTGCTGGGATGAGACCAAATCGAAGCCTTTCACCATTGAAGAGATGCTCGGTATCTTCATTCTCTGCAATGTTGTCAGCGCCCCAAAAATATAAATGGAAAAACAAAAACTGATGTTTTCCTAACAAAAATTACAAAGTCTGATTAAGAAAGCAAGAAAAATGCCACTACATGTATTTGCTAAGAAACAAAATAGACAGACCTTCACATGAGCCATTGACTGTCCCTGCAGGTTAATAACACACAGCAATTACAACTAGTGGACAGTTTCCAGAGCTTCAGTTGTGATGAAATAAAGATGGGTCAAAATACATACTGAAATCAGTGACGTTTGACACATTTTGAACTAAACCTGGGAGGAGAGGATGGTCTTCCTTTTGATTGGTCTCAAGAACTTCATCTCCAGATTCAGGAACAGAAGAACTCCCTCTACTTTGAATGGAATGGAAGGAATCCGAAGGAGTCGGTGGTAGAGGCACTTTAAGTCTTGACAAAAGATACCCATTAAAGATTTCATTGAAGAAACCATCACCCCCCTGAATGCAGACCGATATTTTAGGATGTAAAAACTCGATGATGATTAACATACTGGAGAGGGTTCGACAATTATCATGAAACAAGATTTTGGTTCTAAAATATCATGAATCTGAAGATGATATAACATCTCATAATATTTCACAAGTAGACCAAAGGAATCATTCACTACCATGATTTCAACAAGCAGAACTCTAGGGTCAAGACAAAAATAGAAAGAAATCCAAAAACTTACAACAGCTATGACGCCATCATATGAGTGAAGTTCTTCTTTACTGATACATGCCATTACGTCAAATGCATGTCCTGCTCTTTCTGTTACAATCACCTGCTTTAAAACAGAGTTAGACACTACCAGAGAATCCAAACTAAACACCATAGTGCGAACAATAAGAAGATGGAACTTATGAATCTCTTTATGAGAATGGCACTATTAGCAAAAGGGAAAAAATACCTAGAGAGACATGTCTCTAGACAAATGAGGGGTACAAAATTCTCTTAAGTTGACATGTGACACTGACATAACAGCCTACGAAACATGAAAGTTATAGAAAGCTTGTTGCAATAAATGATAAATAAAAATCTCCTTGGAAGTTCAAAGTTCAAAATTTTCACCACACAAATTTGCTGCAATGTCAAGAAAGACTTTAAAAGAATCAATGGAGGACTAATTACAAGATAAACCAGAATGGAGCACATAATTAATATGATATGCAACATGTTGGAACTAAATGTTCTAGATCTAGCTAGGAAATGGATATAATTCTTCCAAAAAGCTAAAATGTAAATGACTTCCGTCATCAATTCAAACAATAACTTTAACAAGGCCAACAAATAATATCAACAATTTACATAACGATAATAGCATACCTTTGTTTTGACTTTAGCACGAGCGAAAATCAGGCTAACAGATTCCCAGGTCTTGCAGCCATTTCCTTTGCCACTTCTTGGATGAACAAATACCTAACCAAGCACCGAGCATTCCTGTCAAAGTGTTCGCCCTCATTTTTATCTGCTCAAGTCATCAAAAGATTCCCACATACAAAAGCAACTGAGTTCGAAATGTGATGAGTAAAATTTACCAAAAGATTTCTTGGTCTTCCTACTTGCTTGATCAAAAAGTAGTTCAGCCAATCCATCCACATCTGGCAGGTCTGTAAGTCCACATGACCAAAAGTATATCCAGCAAGTTTCCAAAGGCAAGGTTCTTTTACTGATTTTTGCAACCCGTGCACAGTAAACCGGTACATCTACAGCATAAAGAACGATAGAGCAAATTCACTACACTATAATCGCCAGAGAAAATTACCAAAACAAGGTTAAACGTAGAGATAGGTATAGAACCTCTTGAGTATGCAGCCGGCGTCCTGGAAAACGTTCTTTGGCATTTCTAAGGCTTGACTTTGAACAATGCAGAGAACCATAGCTCGCAAACTCCACAGCGTAAATATCAGAGAAGTTCATCTCAGTTTCGACATTCTGGGAAGCTCCAATTCCCAAACAGGTCGATCCCTCCTGTCCAACGAACAGTAACTGTTTAAGATAACACCAAAAAAGGAAAACGAATGGCCATTAATGCAAAAGAACCAGCCTGTATTTTTCCTTTTGATCCCTAAGATGGAAATATGGATAAAAGACCAATAGATGAATCCATCCCCCTTTAGTTGATGCCAACTTCTGAATAACTTAGCAGAGTAAACAACCAAAGTGTAATTTAACCGAATACCACGCAAAATCGAAAAATTCCATCTCCTCATCCATTGATGAGAAAATATTGACTCTATAATCTGTTTCCGGATGAACAACAAGATTCCTCAGCTCGAGCACTCGAAACACCAGAAAATTCATACCCAACATACGATCATCCATGAAGTAAATGTAATTCGTTAGAAATCCAAGTAATAATCAGCAAACTCAATCATCTAAATTGCCTCAGGAAGGATGAAAATATGCTATTATAGGAGAAACTCACATTATCCGAAGAATCCAACGACTTCCATGACAACCCATTTGAATTTTGAGTGAGAATAACTTCCCCGACATAATCCAAGAAAAAATTCCCGCTCATAACCGATGATCCACCATCTCGATCCCCATTTCCGTCGGAACCATCTGCTGAACGAGAGAACCCGCAATTATCACCTCGCGACTCCATTGATCCGGTTGATATTACATATAATATCAGATACCAAAGGCGAAAAAATCGATTTGGGTGCTAAGAATTTCTGAAAATGGATGCAGCTGCAACGGGGACAGACCGGCGAATCGCAGATGGAAGACGACTAGTCAAACGGGTTTTCTGGATCCGATTTTGGATAAACGGGTCGGATTGTAATAATGGGCCTACTCTATGGCCCATATCAATGCTGGAAGTCTATCCTCATTCTTCGAGGCTTTTTAGACGTGCATTATAAAAAATACCCTAACTGTAAGATTTATGTGATCCGAATGGTCAGGTTCTATCTTATTACTCATAACATTAAATTTATTATATTTTAATCAAATTATTAGTAAGATATACAAAATATGATCATAATGAATTAGTGTGATCACCATAAATTTAACGTTATAATCAACAAAATCAATATGTGATCACACTATATTTTGGATTGGATCACATGAATCAAATGATCATATGATCACACATGGAGAATGAAATCAAAATAGTACAGTAAAGTTATTTTTTATATAATGCCCTTTTAAACACAGTGAGACCGGTGACAATCATTTTTCCTCCACTAGTTATTTTTAATTTTTGTTTTAAGCTTAAATTTCCAAAATATTATATATATTGGATTTTGGATAACATAGTCCGATTTTAGTTGCAACTAATTTCAAATATAAAAACAGCTTTAGTTTTTCTTATTTTGATTTTCATGGTTTGAATTTTTTATGAGATAAATAACGTTTCTCTATATATGTCCTAATACAACAAAAGGTAGCTTACGAATTAGATGGACATAAAATAGTGGTAGCAATATTATTTTGTTTGAGTTCAACTTCTGTTCATGTTAAATGAGATTATGAATTAGGGATCGATATTAGGTTTAATTATTTTCTGGTTTGTCAAATTTTGTTCGAATCCTATTTACTTAAAAAATGCTTATTTTAAAGAATTGTTCTTTTTATTTTTATATTGTTTTGAATTAAATTAATACGATTTAAAAATTATATTGGACACGCACGTTTTCTTCTGATAGATACCAAGTAATACGAAAATTATATGTGATTAATTATTATATAAGCTTGCAAGCAAAACCGCAAATTCTCAACAAGAGGCCGACACGCAACCAGTATTTTAATCCTTTAATAAGTTTAACCCACTTGACCAAGCAAAATGCCTTAACTTTTACCTATCTTTAGTAATTTAATTTATTTTAATAGATATGCAATCGATAAAAACATGTACTAATAAACAAAAGTAAAGAGGAATTTACATAAAAAAAAAGTAAAGAGGAATAATTGTAGGGTTATGCAAAAGATTTAAAATGAACTGTTTTGTACTAAGTGTTATCTTTATACATAAAAAGGCTTTAAGAAACTAAATTTATAAGTAAGTTTTATTCCTTGTATTAAAAAGAGACATGGGTTTGAAAACTAAATAAATATAAATTTTACATGACTAAATATCCAAATAAAAATTGAAATAAAAATATCTCGTTTCCTTTTTGTATATCTTGAAACAAAAGCTATCTATGAAAAAAAAAAAGCTACTGATTTTACATAACTAAAAAATCCGAAATAAAAAAAATATATATATCGCGTTTCCTTTTAATATCTTGTTCTGTTAATTTGCAGATGAAAATCAACGTTATTAAAGATGAATAATAAAAATTATTTAGGAAACAAGCTATAACATTGTTCAGCTCTCATCCAATTTAATAACATCTTCAACGTCGTAGATGTAATTGTTGAACAATCATATATTCAAATGAGCAGTGTTTTACTTTCAATAGATTAATAATAATATTTCGTTACGTCGTGGATAAGATTGTCGAAGAGAAGAGGCAAGCATGAGCAAGGAACAAAGGAAAGCAAAATACGAATACAAAAATCCAAAGATATTCCAATTTCTCTGCATCAAAATTCCGGAATCGTTAAAGTTAAAAATGGCGAAATCTGTCAGATTCTCCGCGGCTGATCCTAATTGACGCCTTAAAAGAAGAAGCAGACAGAGACAAAACCCACCGAGTAAACGTAAGAAACCTGTCCGAGTCTCATACAGAAAAACATCACCTGATGTTCGGCGGAGGAAGAGGACCGATGGGTGGCGGCGGAGGCGGAGGCATGCTACGCGCCGCCGGGAGAGCTATGAAGAGGACACGCGTTGCCAACGGCGGGATTCAAGAACCCTTCTCTTCTTCGTCGTCGTCGTCTGCAAACGCAGCTGCTTCGAATGCCTCCCATGGCGGATGTGCTGGTTCGGCTTCTAGGCAACCCCACAAGCTGAGTTCTTCTTCTGGGTCGAACCATCTGACGGTTCCGGCATCTGGGTCACCGTCGGAATTCCCGGTGGGCGGTCGGAGCGCGTGTGTGAGCTCTGGTGTTTATGTTGACGAGTTCGAGTGGGTGTCTGAAGAAGGAAGTGACGAGGAGTTTGTCTTTGGCTGTGTTCCTTCAGCCGATGAAGTCCAAGACGCAGTTTCTGCTCTCCGACAGTAATTTTCTCAAACCCATGTCTCCTGCATTCTTTTTTCCTCCATAAATCTGTTTTGTGAATGAGATTTAAGAATTTGGAGTCTTTAATGGGAATTGAGAAGCACGACTGTACAATAAGTAGGCATTGTGATGACAGGAACGCTTAAGAGGTGTCTTTTTACGTCCCAAAGTTGGTGTCGTTTTGGACAAAGCCACTTTCTGTGATTGCGATGGAGCTCTGTCTTGAACTTTATAAGCAACTATGATTCTGCATTACTATTTGACTGTGTTGTGTGTAATCTGAAAGCTTTTTACAGTCTTTTGTCACTCTCAAAACCCTTCTTCTTGTTTACGCTTACCCGAGAAGGGATCTGCGCATATATATAGGAACTAGAGTTGATCTTCAGTTTGTTTTTCCTGAAGGGTTTTTGATGGTAATGGTGACAGATTCGAGGGCAATGTTAACAATACCGATCGGATCCAGAGCCCCACCAGCGGAATGATTATTCAGCAAGCTTCACCGTTCGGGTTGGAACTAGACTGGCTGGAGCCTCCGATGCAACTGTGCCATCCAAGAATGTTGCAGACTCACGGTTACGACCAGGTTTACAATGCATTCCATCTACTTCGGACCGAACCATCCGTCCAGGTAATCTTTCCTGTCGGTCTTGAATTCTTGATCGGTACTGAAATCTGCATGTCTCCTGTTACATATGATTGGATCTTGAACAAAACGTAATTACATGGAGAAAAAAAAAACGCTTGTTTCCTGTTGAACCTGTTGAATGTGCTGGAATCTCTGGTTCATGGGAATCTTCTTTCAGAAATCCGAGCTCGTTATTTCGTTAGATTTGGATGACATGAGTAGAGAGATTTTCGGGTTTTACGCAGAAAATGGTAGTATCTCTCTCATCAGACAGAGCAGTTTGGGAAGCTGTCATGAACAATGAGGTGGTACGCGAGATCAGGGAGCTATACAACAACGGCACGAGTGAAGGTATTACAAGACACAACTAAACTTCACATTTTTACACAGAAATCTGATAATGGCCTATTGTTCGAAGCAGGGAACGAAGAGGAGAGACCAGGCGAAGAAAACAAGCCAGGGGTTGATTTCATAAAGTGGGTGTTTGACAACACAAAGGCTAAAGCCATGGAAGTGATGGAGAAGATATCGAAGCTTGTTGCCGTGTTCTTCAAGAAACAAGACAATGACGATGATGACAGCAGGAAAGACAGCAACGAGCTTGAAGAAAGGATAAGGACATCGGTCCTGCTCACGGTCACGGTCATGCTGGTCGTGATCGTGTCCCGAGCCAGTCCCACGGCCTTGTGATGGAATCCAATTTGACGACATTACACAGAATAAGCTTTTTCTCTCTGCCACCTTTTGTTTTGTTCATCTTTGCTTGCAAATCATGTTTCTAGAGTCTGGGCTCTGTACTTGATTTGACATCTCGTACAAGTTCCTGCCTGTCTTTGTCTGAGATTCCCTTAGAATGTTCGGAGAGCATCGCTCTCTCCTCTTTCACGAATACGTACGGCAACGCGTCTTTCTTCTTTTGTTACCAGAGAGGGTTCTGCATTGATTCTCACCTATGATATACAGAAGGTTGGCCTCATATGTGTTGCTAGCTTGTGTAGAATGTATGGTAGAACATCTAGCTTGTGTATCACATTTAAATGATAAATGTTTCTTGTATCGTTTGCAAACTTTTAAGCAAACTGATAAAACCCGCTCATAATAGACCCAATTAAATCCCAAGACTCGTGGATATAAAAAATATAGTAAAACTTAGAGGATATTGAGATACAAAATATATTTTCTTTAGATCATTAGTAAAATAAAAGTGATTTATTGATTCGGTAATATAAAATTTACAATATTGTTTTGATGACTGTAGTTTTAATTTTTTTTTTAAATATATGTTTTTTGGCAGTAGATTATTTTCAACGGTCATAATCCCTCCGCAACCTCCCTTTTCATTCTTTCCTTTTTTTCTGCTTATTTAAGTGTACTAGCGTAGTGACAGTTCCGTAATTCTGGTAATAACAAGGGCCACATTCGGAATATCGCTTTTTCCTTTGCTTCTGACTGACGTAGAGTGGCATTTGCTTGTATATAAAGGAGAGCGTGGAAAGGCAGTTTCGAGTTGCCACAACATTTTCCTCGTTGCTTTGAGAAGAAGAAAGGTTCGAATCATCTTTGCGGAAAGCCCTAGCAGAAGAAGAAAGGTTCGAATTAGGGTTTTTTCAGAGAAACCCTAACTTTCTACTTCGTATTAGGGTTTACAAAAAATCGGACTAATCTTTTGCTTCGTGCTAGGGTTTCAGGTTCTCACATTTCGCTACAATGGTCATTGTACCAAAACTGGTGATCAAGTTGGGGAAAGGAGTTTTCGTCGCGAACGGCTCCAGAAAGCGTGGAGCTGAAGAAATAGATGATATTCAGACAAAGAAGAAGCCGAAGGTGAAACAGGACCAGAGTGTGACTCCGCATTGTTCTGTCCTACTTGAATCGGCGATGGAGCATCGCTTCGGGTGGGTCTTCTACGAGCCCGTCGATCCTGTGAAACTAAATCTTCCCGATTACTTCTCGGTCGTTTCTGAGCCGATGGATTTCAAAACCATCGAACGCAAGATTGAGAAGAACGCATACGGTACCGTGGACGGGTTCGCAAATGACGTCAGATTAATCTTCTCCAATGCGATGTTGTATAATCCGCCGGAGAATTTGGTCCACAAGATGGCGAAGGAGCTGAAGGAGTTCTTCGAGGCTGTTTTCTTGGATAAGACAAGATCCGAAACACAAGCACTCTCTCCTGTCTCAACGTTAGACCCAACAGTAGAGAAGACCAGAAAGAATGCAACAACAAAGCAGAGACTTGTTAAAAAGCTCAATCACGGCCCTGTTGGAACCCATTTGACTCTGAAACGTTGCTCTAAACTTGCCAATGTTGGTTGTGATCGTGAAAATGGGGCTCCAAATTTTGATGCCGGCCATTGTGGTTCATGCTGCATGGTTACTACTGACAGTAGCCTCCAGTTCCGTAGCACGACTGGCAAAGATCTCGACTTAGAAACCGGCAGCGCATCATCATCAATAACTGCAGATTGTATGGCAAAGAGAAATTCAGGTTCACAGCATACCAGCAAGCCAAATCCACATCCTGATGGATCTGTCATTTCTGTTAATGAGGACGATGGTCGTTGTCTTTGTTCTTCTCAACCTCGCACAAGTATTTCACCAGACCCGCAGGGGAAAACAACAGCAATTGGCGTGTCCTTATCTCCAAAGAGAGCTCTTCGTGCTGAATTACTCAAGAGCCGATATGCTGACACAATCCTGAAAGCCAGAAAAGTCCTTGGCCACACTAGCAAAACCGATCCAAAGAATAAACAACAAGAGAAAGAAGAGCTAGAAAGAATGCAGCACAAAGAAAAACCTAGAATTGAAGCTAAGGTTGCAGTATGAAAGACGGAGCAGCAAATGCAACGGGAGAGACAACGGCTCGCTCTACAGAAAATGGAAGAAGCTGCCAAGATAGAACAAGAGGGCAACAGGGTGGTGGAGAGGGAACTGGAGCAACTCGCTCTCCGTAGTATGAGGAGTCCTCGGCTGCTCGAGAAGCTTGGTCTATTTCTGAAAGAGGATGATGGTCTCGATGATACTGAGTCAGAATCGTCTGTTTTGGTGGCAGATCTTGAGGAAGGGGAGATATTCTAGAGTTCTTTGATTGCATACTCTGATGTAAATTTTGACCTGATGCATACATATAACAGTGAATCCGTTTTAGAAACAAATCACATTCCCATAGTCTCTGCCTTTTTCCTTCACTCCCCTCATACTAAACAAGCATTGTCTTAAAAATAACATCATATACGGCGAAAGATATACCTCAGATGTGTCATAAAATTGCCTAATATAGTAAAAAAGAGACAATAACTCAATTCTCATTCAAGAGTACAAATAGGTAATTTGGCATATTGATAAGGAGAAATAGATAACTTATCTCTTAGTTAAACCATAATAACACTTCCCAACAATTAGCGGTATCCAAATTTCACGGACATGGAACATGGCAGAGATCGCAGAAATGCCTCCATTCGAGAAACAGAAGTAGCAAACAGAGTTAAATCATCTCAAATCAAACAGATTTGGAGCGTGGATGATGATGGGAACGAGGAGGATACACAACGCCAAGCTCGAGGAATCGGTCGACGGAGGAGATCATGCTGGAGAGTTACGATTTGGCTTTCTCTCTCAGCGGAGCCATTTTTCCGGCGATGACGACGACGACCTCTTGAATTGGTGGGCACTGGCTTATATTCAGAGGCGAGAAGATCTCGCATTTGACTCGTGCACACGTCATCTTTTCTATAACTGGGTCCAACTTGTTGCTGACGTGGAAAGTCTGATTGGATATTATTTTATATCGAATTTTAATGATTAATTATGAAATTCATTAGGGTGGTCTTTGTATTTTGTACATAAAACTCTAAATTAGATTGGTATCTTGTTGTCATGGTATTTACATGCAATGAATATATCAAATAATGTATGATAAAAAAACAAGAATAAGCTTATTAAATAAAATAATTATCTATACATCGAATACATACTACAACGTTGTTTTTCGTGTTTTTAGGGAAATAACATGTAAAATTATTCATGATAAAAATGAATAACAAAATTTATTTATTTTTTTTAGAAATTTTATGAAGGATAAAGTTTTATTCCTGTTTATGGATAAATAATCTTCTATTAGGGTGTCTATAGAAAAATAATAGTTATTTTTGTATTATTTTCTAATACTTAGACAAAAAGGTTCCGTACTTTTTTTTTATAATTTAGAAATTCAGATACCTTTACTCTAATTACATCTCTCAAAGAATCGGAAAAATCCACATAAATATCTTTTCTATATTTGAATTTGAACCCGAAATAAAAGTATTTACTCTAATTACATCTCTCAAAGAATCGGAAAAATCCACATAAATATCTTTTCTATATTGAATTTGAACCCGAGATAAAAGTATGTTTTGCATATAATTATCAGTAGATCATCTAAACTTGGGAAAACTTATGTTTTCCATATTTGAATTTATAATATATAAATATCTTTTCCATATTTAGGATATATAATTCTCAAAATACCAACTCCTCCTTTAATTATTGGATTTTGTATTTTCTCAATGTTAAATATATTTCCTCTTACTATTATTTAGGGGATTGGGACATTGGATATGTTATTAGAGTAAAATTGAATCGTAAGTTAACGTTATTGCCGACTTTATTTTCTTCGGTGAAAATTTTAAAAATTACATGTACCAATTTTTAAAAATTTAAGGGGCTCACAAGTTTTTTTTTTCTTGTTGAAATGTAAAAGCTGTTAATTTTATGAAAACTAAAAAAACAAATGATTAATCATCTAAAATACGAGTAGAAGACTCTAATTTTTTAAAAAGAATATAAAATATTAAAAAAGTAAAAAAGTAAATTTTTTTAAAACTAAAAAATAGAAATTTTAGTTAGCCCACATCATCATCCAATCATAAAATTGAAAAACAATGTTGGAACTAGACTAGATGAACAATACAAATCGCTACAAAAACATCGATATGGCAAATTAAACATTATAAATCACTATGAGGATTCTAGATCCTCTTATTTTCTGCAGCAGAGAGACCAGGCGTTGGCTTTCTTATTTGATTAAGAGTTCACAAACAACACCCACCATTTAAATCTGATCCACAAGCTAAAGATTAGATATGCCCATCCTGCCCACAAAGAAGAGAAGCTACAAACGATGATGAATCAAACAGATCATAGAATAAAAGATCGAACCATCAACACTGCCACTGAGCCATTTATCAAAACAAAACATACCCACCCAAGAAGCTGTCTTCACACCAGGCAGAGTGGCCACATTCCCTGTTCATACAGGGGATGGAAAAAAGACAGCTTCAGGAGGAAGAGGATCATTAAAGCAGAGATAAAGAACATGTTTCCGACTACACGACTATAAGTTGCATGTCCCAGAAGAACAAATAAACGGTACAGGAGAAATTGTCAGTGACTGAAATGAAACCTGCTGAAGGCAAAGAGTAACACACCCATCACCACTGGAAATGAGCAGACGGCAAAATGTATAAAGAGGAAACAATAACCACACGACACGATTTAATCCTATAAAAAGAGCATCAAATTATTATCAGTGATAAGATTTCTAATGGCCTCTAGGAAACACCACACTGTATGAGTTGAGAGCTTTCCAGCAAGGATCACTGCACATTTCACAACAGCAGAGCAAGGTTAAGATGTGAGTCCCCAAACTTCCAACAACAAAGATGACACAAATAAGGTTACTTGAGCTCCAAGATACTTCACTCACATCTGAAAAGATTAAGAATACCAAACAAAAGAGAAACTGTGTTAAAAGAGATATATCAATAGCAATACAAGCTGAATGTGAAAAAACAGTGTACAAGAACCGTTAGCCTGCACACGGGAAAATCAGCAAAAGCAGAAAAGATAACAGCAATCTGTTAAAACCCAACATGATGGACCTGTTTTACACTGCAAGTCTACAAAATTTATCTGATTCTACAACATAAAAACAACAAGAGAATGAATCGTCTCATCATTTTCCAAAACTGGTTTGATTTAGCCCCTAAATTCAATCGAAAGACAGATGAATTAAGTATGGGAAGCTTACCTCCCCCCGCTGGTAGATTCTTCTCATAAGACCCTCTTACTTCATCTCAGCCATAAACTTCTCATACTCAGCATCTCCAACAGAAGCTGAATTCTCTACAGAGGTAATAGGTGGCTGCACTGGAGGCCTAGGAGCCCAAGGCATGTTCCCCATACTCTGTGAATGGCCAGCTGTGGGCATAGGAGGATTAGGTGCCCATGGAACATTACCTGGACCTTGTGAGTGATGAGAAGTTGAGACAGGAGGGCTGGCGGCCCATGACACATGGCCCACGCTTTGAGAATGATCAGCAGACGAGACAGAAACTGGAGGTGGTAGAGGTGGAACAGCATTGTAATAAGATTGGTAACTCATGTAAGGCGGCTGTCCAGACATAGCTGCAACCGAGTTAACATAGACGTTTGGCGGGGCAGATGGAGCAGAAGTACCACCGTCTGACTGCACCCCTGGTGGGAAGCTTTGCTGGATTTCACCAGAAGTAGCATTTTGAGATGCAGTGCCAGGCGGAGGAGCTTGTGCAGCAGGGGGAGGCAGAGGATACTGCATTCCATAAGGAGGCATAGGTTGACCAGGAACGGGAGGATAAGAGCCAGGAGGAGGAGGAGGTGGAGGGGCATAAGGCGAATAAGAAGGAACAGGTGGTGCCCAGGGAACCGGAGCTGTGGAATAGCCCACAGGAGGGGGATTTGGCAGAGGTCCACCAGTAGCGTATTGCTGAGAAGGATACACACCAGCAGGCTGGCTCGGTGGAGGATAACTCGGAGGTGGAGCTGGAAGGGCTGGAGTTGCTGGGGGTGCAGCAGGCTGTGGTGGTTTACCAGCAACCCTGACAGCAATTGTTCGGCCCTCTAATCGGTAGCCATTCATGGCCAGTATCGCACTATTGGCCATCTGGACATCAGCATACTTGACAAAACCATAGCCCTTGCTCAGACCAGTCACACGGTCCTTGATCACCTTTGCCATTACAATCTCACCAAAGGATGAAAACAAGTTGATCAAACCATCGTCCTCAAACATTGGAGGTAAGTAACCGATGTAGAGATTTGTCTCATCATATTCCTTGGAAGGTTTGATAGGAGTCGAACCTAAGCCTGGATGTGCACTTCCCCCACTCCCTGAATTGTTAGCCCAGGGTGGATTACTTCCAGAGTTGCCTGATCCAAGGGCCAAGGGAGAGCTTTGTTTAGTTGACGATTCAGGGACAGTCCCTCCTAGCTCCGCCAAGAAGCTCTGATATTCATCATCCATTTTTTTCCCTGTCGTACCCTTCACCGGGCAATCGATAGTTGGATGTCCACCATCACCACAAATCTTACAAAGTACATCACTCTTAAAGGTATTTGTACGCGAAGGACAGGCATACTGTCTATGTCCTGGCTCACCACACAATCTACAGTATTCTTCATCCCTTATAGTTCCATTCAAAGTTGCAAGTTCCCTAAGCTGTTGCCGTTTGTGTTCGTTCAGCACCTCATCAACAGGCTGCAGGAGCTTCTCAACCATAGCAGCAGCAGCATCAAGAGATTCCTGGGTTTCAGCTTCAACTAAAACATGCAAATCCTCGTTTTCCGCAGGGTCATATTTCAAATCCTTTTTTTGCTGCAATCGACCTTCTTTCACTGACCCTTTACCGCGAATTACAATCTTCGCACCAGTCTCCCTCTCCATTCTCTTCTGGGTATTTCCTCTTGGGCCGATGATAAGACCAATGAAATTGTACCCCGGATACTCCTTCATCGGTATGTAAAGCTTCTTCTGGAGTTTGGGTGGCCGATAATCTGCCGGAGGTTTAAACGCCGGATTCTTCTTGATTATCTGAGAAATAATTTCTTGTCTTTCCCTGGACGATGGTCGTTGTCTTTGTTCTTCTCAACCTCGCACAAGTATTTCACCAGACCCGCAGGGGAAAACAACAGCAATTGGCGTGTCCTTATCTCCAAAGAGAGCTCTTCGTGCTGAATTACTCAAGAGCCGATATGCTGACACAATCCTGAAAGCCAGAAAAGTCCTTGGCCACACTAGCAAAACCGATCCAAAGAATAAACAACAAGAGAAAAAAGAGCTAGAAAGAATGCAGCACAAAGAAAAACCTGGAATTGAAGCTAAGGTTGCAGTACGAAAGACGGGGCAGCAAATGCAACGGGAGAATATATCGGTTCTGGAGACGGAGACCTCTGTCCCTCCGGTCGATCGTCCAAAGGCATACCAGACTGCAGCATCCTACTGATCTCAAGCAACCTACTATTCAAAGTCTGAATCTCGGGATCAAACTCAATACCTCCCGTAAAATCCTTCATGAAGTCAGGGAGCTGAATCACCGGCTTCGGCTCATCATCTGCCCATCTCGACTTACGCTTTTTGGTAGCAGTGCTCGAGTCCCCAGTGCCACCGTCCGAGATCGTGTTATTCAACTCCGACGGCGGCGGTTCCCACCGGCTCCGGCGTCGCCTCCGGCTGGTAGTCTCCTCCTCTCCACCGGACTGATCCTTGTCGGCGCCACTCTGAGTCTTGCTAAATCCGTTCTCCGAAAGCAGCGGCGGCTGGATCTCAGGCTTCAACATCGCACCGTTATTCTCTGTCGGAGGCACAGAAGAGCCGTTTACACCATCGGAAGCAGGAGTTTGGTGATCCAAAGCCGGGGATTCACTCGAAGGGACAGAAGAAACAGCTGTGTTGGAGAATTCGAGGGTTTCGGGAGACAGATTCGCGCGGTTTAATAAGACGGAGTCCATTACCGAACTTCGAAGCTAGGGTTTCAGATCGAGAGAGGGATAAGAGATCAGAGAAGAAGAAAGTACAAATTGACAAAAACGCGTAACGAGAGAGGTCTTAAAGAGGGTTAGGACGGCATCGTATTGGGTTTGGGTTGGGCCAAGGTCCATTGGACCGACCTCCAGGCCCTAAGGAACTCTACGATTCTAAGCCCAATTGAATCTTTGTAACAGTTATTTTTCTTTTTAACATTTAAAAAACAAAGGGAATCTTATCATACGACCAAAATTAAAATTTTAAAATTAAGATAAATAATAGTTATGTATCACTTAACTGGGTATGTATTGTATGGTACCGCGAATATCCGTATCTATATATATAATATTTATCAATTTAAAATTAAACCAAATATCGAATAAAATAATATATATTTTGATTCAAAAATATATTTAAAATTTGAAAATTCTTAAAATATGAGAATATATATAGATTTCTATAAAATTTCTCAAAGATACAAAATAATTTTGAAATTCAAAAGATTAGGATAATAATAGAAACATTATAAAATCTTAGATATTTTGATAAAAAAATTTGAAATACAAGAATAATTTTATCTTATTTATATATATATATATATACGGGTATCCGCAAATACCCGTTTTGTAAATCTCCAAAATCCGAATCCAAATCCGTCATATAGGTTTTCCACCTTTTATATTTATTTTTCATTTTCATTAAATATCAAGTATCTACTCGTCGAGTACCACGGGGCCATATACTAGCAAATCCAAAGATTATGGGTTTTTTTTAGTGTAAATGTTCATCCCTGGTTCTTTTATCATTTATCTTTTATTTAGGCTTTGAATGGTATTGGTTTTTATTTTGGGTTTTTGGTTTTAGTTTTTGGTTTTTGGTTTTTAGTTTTTGGTTTTTGGCTTTTGGATTCTGAAAGTTTATAAATCTAAAAAAAAGTGGCTTTTAGTTTTTAGTTGATTTTTTTCATAAAGTAGATTTCCGGGTTTTTAGGAAAACCAAATTTCAAAAAACTTGATTGTCGATTTTTTCACTTTTTGAAATCTAAAAACTCTGAAATCCACCTCCCATTCAACACCTTAATGTTGTAGGATTTTAAAAATGAAATTTGAAGAATCATTAATTTTAAATGTTCCCTGTTATATTTAGAAATTTAATAAAGTTAGTATGTTATTGTATTAAAATTAAAGAAAATCTATTAATTGGATATAAACTAATTAGTTGATTGTTAGTTAAGGACGGAATAAATATAACTTTTTTTTGCAAAAACTGCTTCGAAACTATTTGTAGAACCCTAATTAATATTGGATCAATTCTTAATTATTTAAATCAATTCCATCTGTGTATAATTCCAATCAAATCAAACTGATGGTTTCCATGTTTATTATCGAATTCTTAATGTGTTCAATAATTAACAAATTTCTCTATAATCCCTAGAAATAAAAACTCGTTTAATCTCTACTTAACCCTACGAAAAACAAGATTAAGAAACTCTAAACATTCGATGGAAAAGAAGCCTCTTCTCTTTTTAGTAGATCTCATGGCTAAATCTCTTCTATAGGCAAAGTCTTCTTCTTCTTCTTCCTCTTCTTCTCTGCAAATCAAAGCTCTCTTGTCATCTACGCCGTAAAATACGTCCTCCGTAGAAGTTCTCCGTCGGCAGAGTCTATCTCCGGCCGCCGGAAAAGACAACGGAATGCAAACAGACGGCGGCGCCTCAGTCGTATGCGATGGTTGGCCGCCGGCGCCGGCGTCAGAAGTCGGAGCTCCTCCGACCATGTGACGGGGAATGTGTTGATCCTCTGTGGGTCAGAGAAACGAAATAGAGAGGGATGTTTTGATGAGTTTAAAATTGTAATTATTGTTATTTATAGGGGAAATAAGTTCCATTCTTCTATAAGGATTAGGATTAGTATTTTAAACAACCTTTTTTTTGTGTAAAGACTAATATATATATATATTTACGAAAATGGTATTGAAACGTCGACGAGGTAAAATTGAATCTGGCGAGGATTAATCGGATGTGGGATATTGGTAACGTCTCGGATAAATATTTAACAAAAAATATTATTAAGTTTTTTTATAAAAAGGAGTTTTTCCTTTGGTCTAACTAATCCCACGATCCAAAATCAGAGATAAATTCTTATTTATCTAACCATTCTTTTTCACATTTAGATTTGAACTCAGTGATAAAAACATTTTTGTTATGTTGTCTTATCACTTATTCACAATATATATGTGTGTGAAATTGTAAATTGTAAAATTTGTGGTGTGTGCATCGTTTCTTTCCAAATTTCAGATGGATTCAGTTCACATAGACGGTCTGGATTGATGAAACTAGGGACTGGACAGTGGAGATTAAAATGTGAAATCGAATGGTTCCATCTGAGACCGAATTTGACAGATCCGACAGCCCTAGATTTGTTTTGTCCAAATCGACGGTCCAAATTGGATCCCTATTAAAGACAAGAATTACCTCATTTTCTTTTTCAATATATACACACGATCCATACAAGATCCATGCACTCAATACACGACTCACGTTCTTCAGACTGTCTTAAATTCTAAATGCTACCAGAGAGGTGTTTTTGAAAGTGGCCCATTGACCTCTCTCTGGTGTTCTGTAACGTGATCCACTGTTGTTGCATCAACAGGTTCATTCATGCTCTGTCTCCTGCACCAGTGAATGGTTTGCTTGCTTTCACAGATAACATATAACCAACCCCTTTTTTACCTTCCCTTTTGGATCTCAACCGATTGGGCACACAATGCTGAGAAAGGAGCCATTTTTACCTAACCCAGATGGAAAAATTAATCACCCCTCACAGTAAGCCTTGTTACCTGATGCTAAAAATGCACATGAGATCGTCAAAATCGAAAGTGGAAACTCGAAATGAGAGATCTGCCATATGTTAGTTACCTCCAAGCTTTATAAAATATCCCCCCCGTGACATCTTCATTCAATCCAATATCCCTGATTCTGCGGTGCTAGATCACTTGAGAACAAGAAAGCCATATAAGACCGAAACAGATGCAAAAGCAGCAACAAAAGAAAAAACACATGAAGCATACCGTTTTGAAAAATGCTTCAGGACATACGTATAGTAAAGGGTATAGAGTTATCAGACGATACCTACCTCAACCCTTTTGACCTTTAACAATATGTGATGAAGGAGAGTCATTGTGTAAGGTCTCAAAGCTGTGAATGGTAGAAAGATGTTTCACCCATAATGATATTTAACACAAAGGAGGTTCAGCAAAACACATGCTTACAATATGAAACTAGGGTCACATTGTCTACCTCATTAAATTGCAAAGTCCTTGCCCCCCCCAGTTATAGAGAAAAACATTATCAAACTAGTTTTGGCGAATGGGACTTCTCGAGTGCCTTTTGTGACCATGCCTCCCATGAGGAGACCGTGATCTGCTACGATCACGGCCATCTCTCCCACCCCTCGATCTCCAATCTCTGTCATAAGACCGGTCACGGTCTCTATCACGCTCTCTGTATCTGTCCCTATCACTAGAACCACCCCTTCGTCTACTATCATGTTCCCTCTCCCTCTGCTTCTTCCTATCATCTGCTTCTTTTCCTCTTGATAGCCGTTCTTCTCCTTTTGCTTTTTCTTTCGCAGCCTGGAAAAACAATTCGTCCTTCATTATCCCCAAGGAATAATAACATAGGCAAAACAGGATACTTGCGATTCATTTGAGGCTTACCTTGTATTCAGCGATAAAATCTCTGACCATACCGTAACCAACATGTTGCTTTCCCGTGACATGAGACTGAGTCCTCTCAACGGCATCATTTGCCACTAGAAATGAACCACAAATCTCGCACAATGCCATCTTTTTCTCCTGTGCCATTGCTAATACCTTGTCGTTTGGCCGTTGTAACAACAGTGTCTTTTCAGCATTAAGTGCTTCAACCTATCAGAATTACCAAAAATATGTGAAACCTCAATGCACTATAAATAAGGAAAAATTCTGTTCTGTTTGATCCACACATTAGCAGTTCCATTGATAATCAACAGGTGTGTAACAGTTGACACAAAATTACCTTCCGCATCAGTGCTTCGGCTTCATCCACCTTGCCAGCTTCTCCAAGTGCCTCTACTTGTTCCAGAAGGTTCTTAATTTTCTCCTCCAAAACAGACAATTGTTCAGCTTTTTCTGCAGATAGAGGAGGAGGTGGAGCAGGTTCAACATCTTGCGCAAGGCGTTCCCGTCCACGCCTAACTCTCCTATCAAGATCATTCACCTGCAAACATTACCACAATTTAGCTGAAGATAGGAATGTCTGTAAGTTATGACCAGAGAGAAAGAAGACTAACAAACATAACCCACCAACTTCTCGCAAAACTGAGCAAGTTCAGCCTCAAATTTTGGCACATAGGAATCATGTCTTGGAGAGTTCTCAAAGCTGAAAGCAAGAGATCAAACCATAAAAAGGAATTTTATGGAACTGATTAGAGAAAAGGAAAACTGCTCCAAAGTATTTCAATATCAACCACTTCGTGGGAGACTAATCACGGAAGGGGACACATCATAATGCCAAAATATTTGGCAGGTGCGAAGACCACGAAGATGAGTTTTCGCTATGGCCGCACATCACAACCAATAATAATTACAAGAACACAGAAGCCACTAATAGGCTCCCAAACAATACAATCATAAGCCTCATGACTTGTGCAATGCAACCATCAAATTTATCAGAAATTGCTCTTTCAAGCCTCACCTCTCTTTCAGCTTTGGATCATGAATTCTCGGGCATGCTCCTGACAAAGAAAACAAAGGAAAAACACGATTAATTTCGGAATTGCAAATTGAAATCGAGACGAACTTTCTATATTTTCCTTCGAACCGAACTAGTAAAGGATTCACTAACCAAGATCGCTTCGGGTGTTGACGAAGAGGTCGTGCGGACAAAATCGAACCATGTAAAATGCACAGACTTCTTTGTCGTCCCATTTGACCTCCTTGAACCCTCTTTTCTCATCCTCCGTTAGATTCCGAGCTGCAGAAAACCAAAAAAGTTCGTCATTTTGCTCATTACAACAAAAATCTACCAAAACCCTAAATGTAAACAAAGGTAAAGCTTCTCACATACACTTGGATCGCTCCTGGCAACTCACCTGCACCCATGAGTTCGTCGAGCAGAGCTCGCTGAGCATCCATGATGGATTCCGGTGGAATCAAACTGTATAAATATCGAATCTGAGTAAATATGAAACCGAATTACGAATTATTGTTGGAGAATTCCGGGCGATGACGAACAAAACAAAAAGAGCAGTCCAGTTGATAACTAGGGTTTTTTCTCCATGAGCCGCAAAGATGTTATCTTGGGTTCCAGGCTGACGCGGTAGCTGAAACGACGACGTTTTCCTCTCATGTGAAGCTAGACGTCACGATTTTCAAGTCTATATCCAATCACCGGCACGCTTTTCGCCGAGGCGGCTCCTCGAAATGTTATTTTTAAACTACGAAGCCTCACTTGTATTTTAAATATCTAAATGTCATCGAGATAAAAACTATATGTACATAATTTTTTTTTTTATAAGATATACAAATTTTGAATATTTTTAAATACTAGTGTATACATTTTATTTCCTTCTATTTGTCTGTACCACTCCTCGATAGAATTGGGTGTAATGGTAATCTTACAAATTATATACAAATCAATTAAATACACAATCTAATATATCCAAGAAATTTATAACAAAAAAATCAATTATTTTCATTCATCCTCTGTTATGACTGCATATTTTCCCTCATTTTTCTCCAGAAAAAATAAAATATTTTCGGATTTCAACAATTAAATGTCATAAAAAAAAATATTTATTAAATCATAGTTTCGGTTGTTAATTATTAATTAATGCAGTTTCCTTGCTTGTCATCCACGTCTTTCTAGAACCATCATGAAACAGAGCATCTCTCTAGAACTTTCTCTCTCCTCCTCCTCCCTTCTCTCTAGGGCCTTCCACTCTCCACTATATAATCATTTCTCCGCTCTTCTGCTCAACGACGTTTCAGAAGCTTCACACTAAAACCTTTCCCGATTTCGCTTCTTCTCTCGATCGAGCTGGTAACCATGGCGTCTTCTCTCGCCCTCAGGAGACTCCTCTCTTCCTCTGTCGTCCCACGCTCCGTGCGCGCCACTCGTCCGGCTGCGGCTTCTCGCCTCTTCAACACAGACGCCGTCAGGAGGTACGACGACGATGAGATGGAGCACGGCGTAGAGGTCGATCGCCGATCCGGCAGATCGGTATCTCGGCGACGCAACGATTTCTTCTCAGGTAGTCGTCTTCTCATTCCTCTTCTTGTCTTGGCTAACCTCGAATTCAGTCGCTATTTCCTCTTCCTGGTCCATTTCTTCTGCAACTTTCTGAGTACACCCTTGTTTTGCGTCTGCTGCTGTTTTCTCTGACGTTTGAGTGATGGTAACTATTGGTTTTATCAAGAGCTCACAAGCAGTTGAGATTATGCTAGGTGAATAGCGAATTAGCTTTTGGTATTGTCAGATTTTCTAGAAATTTTGTTGGCTCGAAACGTTTCCGATCTCATACCTCATCGCCACACTTAATCGTTGATGTCTAGGTACCCTGTTGGATTCATAGATGTTCGAAATTCTTTGGGTCTTCGTTTGCTTTGTTCGTGACATGTCGCTCATATTCACACGCTGTGGAGCAAATCCTAATCCAGAGCGTGCGATTTTAGTATCGGTGACAATTTCACTGCTGACTTTTCAATGTTGGACATTTTTTTTTGTTCCTAAGCCGCTGTGGTGATGGTGCAGATGTGTTTGATCCGTTTTCGACGACGAGAAACCTGAGCCAAGTGCTGAACCTAATGGACCAGTTCATGGAGAATCCTCTGCTCTCAGCGACGCGCGGCATGGGCGCATCGGGAGCTCGCCGCGGATGGGACGTGAGAGAGAAAGAAGACGCACTGTATCTGCGAATCGACATGCCTGGGTTAAGCAAAGAGGACGTGAAGCTTGCCTTGGAGCAGAACACTCTGGTCATCAGAGGGGAAGGCAAAGAAGAAGACGACAACGTAGCCGCCGCCGCCGGCGGAGAGGAGGTGGAGAACCGAGGAGGAAGCGGTGGCCGGAGGTACACGAGCAGGATAGAGATGCCGGAGAAAGTGTACAAGACGGAGGAGATAAAGGCGGAGATGAAGAACGGCGTGTTGAAAGTGGTGATCCCCAAGGTGAAGGAAGAGGAGAGAAGTGAAGTGCGCCACATCGAGGTCCAATAAAACGGCACCGCTTTTAAATGACGAGGGTTTCTCTTTTTCCTCGTTAGGGTTCCAATAAAGATGTGTTGTGTTCGACTGTTGCTTTGGTGTTTGTGGATAAGGAAGGTTTTGTTTCCTTAACTAAATAGTTCCGTCTCTTTTGGTTATTGGTATTTACATGTAATTTATCAAAAATACCTTTAAAATGTTACTAGGAGGGTGTCTATAGGGTGGGTGTCTATAGGGTTGTTGAGATCTGAAGTTCGGTTCGGTCTAATTTGAAAATTAGCAGATTTTGAGATTAAATTTTTTAGTTTAAAAAATATCGGATTTTCGGATCGGATTCGAATAGAATTTTAGACTCGAGTTGGATCGGTCTGATATTTTAAAGAAAAAAATTTCAAAAGAATTTATGCAGGTCTGTATTGAGTACGTTAATTCTCTCAAATATACCGTTCTAAATGCATAATATCTATTTTTCTTTTTATATTTCCATTCTCTTCTGAGACCGCGCTCTCTTTTTTTCGATTTACTCTCTCTTTTTTTACATTTCCACTATCTTCTCTGTTTTACTCTGTCTCCTCCGATTTGTTTCGTTTCTCCTTTGATTTACTTATTCTCTTCAGATTTGTTCTTTCTCTCCTCCAATTTCTTTCGTTTCTCCTCTGATTTTGTTTGTTCTCTTTTTAGATTTGTTCTCTCTTTCTTTTGATTTATTTTGTTTCTCTTTCGATTTGTTTACTCTCTTTTCGACAGTGTCCAAAACTGTCAAAGAGAACACCATATTTAGATCACATGTCATATGAATCATATGGGTCAAATAAAGAACAAATAAATCTGAAGAGAAACGAAACAAATCGGAGGAAAGAGAGAGCAAATCTAAAAAGAGAGCAAGCAAAAGAGGAGAAACGAAACAAATCGGAGGAGAGAGAAAAACAGAAGAGAGAGAGTGGAAACCATAGGAGAGAGAGAAAATCGAGAGAGCAAATCATAGGAGAGAAAAAATGCAGTCTCGAGGAGAAAGAATGGAGAAATCGCAACAGTGAAATTGAAATCGCAACAGAGATCGAGAAATAAATTGTAGGAGAGATAAAAGATTTTCAAATCGCAAGAAAAGGGAGAGAGCAATCTCAAGAGAAGATATTAATTTCGGAGAAAGAAAATTTTAAAAGAGAGAAATATGATATTAATTTCGGAGAGAGAAATCTCAAAAGAGAGAATATTAATTTTTCGGAGAGAAAGCTCAAGAGAGATTATATTAATTTTTTTAATCGTTTTTTTTAATTTTAACAAAAAAAATTTTAAAAAATTTAAAAAACCTTTGGCATTATAATCTTTTTCATTAAAAAATATGGTTATCAGTGTCTTTTCATTGGTGAATTTTTTTTAAAAGAAAACTAGGTTTAGGGGTAGACACTGAAGTGAGAATATTCTTACTATATACTCTATTTACAACCGGTATAAAATTCCTAAAATATCTTGAACTTGCAAAAAAATATACAAATAAACATTTAACTTGCAACATTGTCATTCAAACCCCAAACTTACAATATGTAACTCAATAAAACCTCGAACTTGCAAATTGTTACTCTAATAATCCTTTGACTTGTTTGACCACAATTTCAGACGATCGAAAATTCACGTTGGCCCGGAAAGTTGATATCAGTGTGTCTACGTAACCAATTTTAACTGAATAAACCTAGCTTCAATCTGATTATGTTCTGTTACGTTGGTCCCGAAAACCGGTTTTATTTACTCTCAAATTGGATTAAATTTCGATCTGAAAAATATTGATGTGGCAAAAATTCATTTAAAGTTGGTTACGTGAACACGCTGACATCAGTTTTCCGGGCTAACGTGGATTTCTGATTGCCTGAAATTGTAGTCAAACAAGTCAACGGGTTATTAGAGTAATAATTTTCAAGTTCGAGGTTTTATTCAATTACATATTGTAAGTTTGGAGTTTAAATGACAATTTTGCAAATTAAAGATTTATTTGTATTTTTTTTTTTTTGCAAATTCGAGGTTTTTTAGGGGTTTTATCTTTACCACCGATATAAAATTTGCTAATTTTTAAAGGGGTTCTTGGAAAAGTGTGACAAAAAGATGTCGTATTTTGCAAAGTATGACAAAAATGTTGTGATCTTTACAAACTATACATTTTTTTTGTTTTATTCCTAAAATGCCCCTGAAGCGGAGCCGTCACGTCGAGATCAAAATGAAACTGCCATTTTGTTCCTCTCTCCAAAATTCATTTTTCAAAACACGAAGAAGAGTTAGATCGAAGACGATTTTAGGACGAAATAGAAGAATATCGGCGACGTTCAGAGCACACATTTCCATAACAGGTATGTTTTTTTACTTCGTTTCTAAATTTTAACGTATTTGCGGTTTTATGATTCCTGTGTTGCAGCGTAGTTAACGTTTTTGGAAAATATTGTTATTTACTAATGTGTAACCCACCCCTATCGAGAGAGGCTGTCGTTTGGTTGTATGCGAATGGGTTTCACGTAAAGTATTCATGTTGGAGATTTAAATATTGCTTATAGTAACGTATGAATCCCATTTGTAAGTGTAGTATCCGACAGGTAGATTACATTCCCTGACTGTGGTCAAATATTGGGGTGCTCGGACGTTGCTGAATGTCCCGAATAACTTTGGCACTATGGCCGTCTAATAAGCGTCGTAAGGGTTTAAGCCCGGACGTATATAGTCTGGGTATATTGAGGTCCGACAGTTCCTATTATTCGGAATGTGACATATAATCCAGATATCTTCGAACATGTCTGGGATATCGCTATATATGTCCGGTTATTCCACCCGGGTGATTATTTATCACCTGTCCGGGGAATCACAATATAACCTCGTGTATTTTGTTGATGTTTTGTATAGTTTGATAGCTGATTTTTGTGTTGTGTTCTGTATTTGGCAGATTGCAATGGACTTTTCCAGACAAAATGATACTTTTGTTCAGGACAAGAACCAGACTGGAGGAAAAATATGAACGATGTATGCAAGTTTGGTAGTTGCATGGCAGAGTTGAAGGGGAACATGAGTGCAGAAGAATGGAATGGATTGAGCACTTCTGTCTTTGGATTTTTGTTCAGGCTATTTGACAATGGATTTTCTATATCCAAAGTCATGCTTCACCACATTCTAGCTCGACGGATCATAACCACAAAGAAGTACGAGATGTGGTGTATGTTTGGGCATCAACCTTTAAGGTTTTCTTTGGTAGAGTTCAGGGAACTCACATGAATGATGTGCCACAAGGATCCTTAGAACATAGTGACGAAGGGTCAGGAGCATGGACGTTTTGGTGAGCTTGCAAAGAATAATGTAACTTTGAAGGGTTTATTGGGCATGCTACCAGCAAGCAGGGAAGGTTGGAGTGCAGATGACAGAAGAAGGTTACACTATTTGGTGATTGTCTGTGGAATTCTAGTCCCTCAAGAGAAGAGGAGGCCAGTTGAGAAGACTTATATGAAGTTGGTCAGCAACTTGACTAAGTTTGAAGCAACCAACTGGGGCAGAAAGTCCTTCGTCCATCTACTGGAGTCAATTCACTTGCTTGACATGACACAATTGACCAAAATAAATTACACGGTCCATGGATTTATTCTCGGTCTTCAACTCTGGACGATGGAAACAATCGGACCACTGGACGACATGTTTGCCAAAATTGAAGCCTCATTGGCACCAATTGGTGGTAAATGGGGTTCTTATGCCAAGAGAATTGACAACGACATGGTTAATGAATCAGAAAAGAGGTGTCACATTCTACACTACATTGTCCTTCTTCGCAGTGAATGTAGTGAGTTTGAAGATGAGGTTGAGGATGCCACAGTCACCAAAATATTGGAAGTGCTTTCCAACAATCAGTCATTGTTGATTGAGAGAAGCACATCCGATGATGGACCGAAAGAGGGGAGGTGTCGTAGTGGTGGTGAGAGTGAAGGGAAAACAGTGATGGCAGTTGCCTAGGATGAACATCAGAGTGTTCCAAGTGAGGGAGACGAAGATTTTGTGGTGCAACCCTCTCCGAGGAAGAAACATAAGAAGGCTGTAGGTGTGGAGGAGAGCAGCGTTCGTGTTCAAGAACGGAGGAAAAAATGGAAGAGCAGAGCATCTCTCTAGAATCATAATCAACACTATCGCCATCATCAGTATCATTTCCATCCTCCTCGCATAAATTCATATCCTCATCGCATAAATCGGTCGCAACGAGATTTTCTAAATACCTCACTTGACCAATCTCTCCCTCGTTATCAACAAGAACACCACATCCTTGACGAGGAATATCTGGACCTTCGGGATCGTTTGACCCAACACCTACACTACCCCCTCTCCCATTTTCTTTACTTTCACTTGGCGATTTAACACCTGATGAATTAGTATAGGGATGTGACATGTTCAAATCGAATGATATATTTCTTCCATCACGTCGGACGCTACGATGTTGTTGAACTCGTTTTTTGGCTTTTGACGAAACGTACAGCGCTAATTCTTGATCGCCAGAAAGTTTTTCCACAAGAAATTCAACTCCCCTATCATTGTTAATTAAAATTGGAAATAACTTCTTATCCGAGAAACTATTGGGAAGAACACTAAACACCAATTGTTTTTTGGAAGATTGAAAACCATAATCTTCACATATCCGTTTATAAAGTTCGGAATAAGAAATACCAAGGTGTATCTACAACATTCTAGCACCAATATCTTCTTCAACTTGGAATATTCCTGAGTTCCATCGCCCGAACACAGAGTACAACCACATCTGCACACGTACACAGATTTAGTCTACTTGATAGTCAAGTTTACTTTTTATTGATCCTTCCACAAAGACTCCACCCGCCGAGTTTTTCCGTTACGTACCGGACATATTGCCTACAACTCGGATCACGTTGTCCTCACAAAATTCTATTACAATTATCGTCCGAACCGTTCTACAAAATCGTACTCAGCAAATATATTCCCCACCAAATTCATAAAGCCTCAACCGGACATTTACGGACTGTGGGATTTCTCCGGACGAAATCCCACACGTTCGCATCATTTATGCGGCCGGACCATTTCTAACGTTCTCGGAATGATGTCCACAACCGGAGTCCTGTACATCCCGGACAATGTCTACATGGCCCGAAAATATGTACATCCGGGAATATATTCCAGACCTAATTCATAAGCGCCCAGCAGGACGGACAACATGATTTGTCCGGATGAAATCT